TGCTCTGTGAAATGCTGGGCTTCCGTAGAAAATGAGGACGTGGATTATATTGACGAAGAGGATTATATTGACGAAGAGGATTATGTTGATGAGTCTACTTCCGAACGGCCGCCGATGCTTAATACAACTACCTCCGAGTCGCCAGCGACAATTAAGAGCACTACCATGGAGCCGCTGATACTTGACGGCGATCTTTCCGAGGTGGAGTTATCCTCGTTGCAAACGTCGTTGGACGTTTGCAAGCGGGCGTTCAAGGCCACGGCGGAGCAGATGCAACCGGCGGATAACAGTAGCTGGGCAGTGCTGGGTGTGTGCGATGGCAATGGTGGCCGATTAGTTTGTGCGGATCGAGAGCATAGCCAAGATCCCTTTTGTCATTCCTTCGGTGTTCCCACTGAGTTCGATTTGGCTGACGTGGGCAAGGCGATCGAGCGTTACCGCGCGCCGCACACGTGTGCGATCCACTGCAACTCACTAGAAGATAGGAGTAGTCTTGTCCAACAGAGAACGGCATTAGAGCTTGCTGCCACCATGTTGGGTAAAAATGTAACCAACCTGGGACCCGATGAGTTGCAGCAGCTTGGTAACCAAATTTGGCAGAAGCTTGAGTGGGACCCGGAATGTACTCAAAAATGTTTTCTCCAAGGCTGCACCGCGGGTAGCTTCACTGGAACCAAGTCAAGCTGTGCCTGTACGGCAGCTAGGTTCGACTGTGAATCACATAATAGAAATGTCTTGCTTGAAAAGATAAATGTGTTTCAAAAAGATCAAGACAATCATATTAAAAAAGTAGGTCTATTCGCCTTCAATACCAAACCGGAGAAACTGTTCCACAAGAAATTCGTACGCCAAGGCGAATTCAACGTGTGCTCGTTTGAGTGCTGGGTTCAATCACTGCTAGACAATACCACTAACACGAACTAAGCTATCTGTCTAGAACAAGCAGTAGCTACCGCTACCCAACTGTAGCCCACCACCCCTCTTTTCCCCCTTCGAAACCACATTGATCGGCATGCTGGTCTTCTAACCAGCGGGGCTTACAACAAATCACTCCCTTATCTGGCGCCACCTCACCCACCTGACGACGGCCATATGGGGACCATACAAACACAAGCTTCCGCTCTAGTGCACCTGCCAGACCACTCATCCCGCCCAACCTCCCCTGCGTAACCAGCTTCAACCAATTACTCGACCGACTTTAGTTGATAAACTGGCCTCCAGCAAACTAAAATCGATCAAGTAATCCCTGGCAAGGATTTTGACGATATTCAACAATGTACGCTACCAATGTACGCTACTAGGAATTCAGCCAAAGTGAGACGGTCCTGCCGGCCGCCGACTGTTGGCCCAGGACGTTTCATAAGCGTCCAACTCATCCAGGCCGAGTCAACTCTGCAAGCCCGTTCGTCTGGAAGGATGTTTTGCTTAGGAATTTCGTCCCCCGAAAATTTTCGGATCGGAGCTCTTTCTTGATGAAGACATTTACGGC